ACCATACACAAAAACGAACTCCAGATGGATCAAAGACTTAAATGTGAAACCTAAAACTATAGAGTTCCTCAAGGAAAAACTAGGGGCAAATTTAGGGGCCCTAATATGTGGCATAAATAAACTATCAAGCATAATTCAAAATGCACAAACAGCAGAAGAGAAACCAGATGACTGGGACCTTCTAAAGGGAACCCTTTGGAGAAAGAAACAACAGCCAACAACAACTGACCATTAACACACATGATGACATAACTCAGAAATCAACCCAGCTATGGAAGCATCCAAAGTAAATAAGCCTACAAGATTGTAAACAGGGAACCAGAGACATCAATTGACAAATGAGGACAACTACAACCAAAGAGGGAAAAAACTGTGTCATTACAGAACTTTTAGATGGTAGGGAAGTCAAGACAACTACAAGATAGAACGGACTGTTCTAAACAGGGTAGCCTCTAAGAAAAATGATAAACATTCATATGAAAACAAAAAAGAGGACCAATACAAATATTTAGCAAATACCAAAACAATAGCAATGAAGGAAGTGATAGAGCGATTCATAAACAAAACGAACTCAGCATAGAAAATTATATGGAAAAAAGAAATTCACACCACAGAAAAGCACATAACAAAAAGGACAGCAACAAATTCATATTTGCCAATAATTACATATCTGGCAAGGGACTTATCTCTAAGATTTACAGAAAACGCCAACTCCTCAACAGCAAAGGGATTAATAATCCAATTGAAAAATGGAGAGAAAATATGAATAGAAACTTCACCGAGGACGATATTCAGTTGACTAGCTAATACATGAAGAGACACCCACAATCACTGGCCAGCAAGAGATGCAAATCAAAACAACGAGATATCATCTCACCCCAGCACTGATGGAAAGGTTCAATGAGACAGAAAATAGCAAATGTTGGCGGGGATGTTAAGAGATTGGGACACTCATACACTGCTGGTGGGACTATGATACAAACACTGTGGAAAGCAATATGGCAATTCCTTAGAAAGTTGGAACTGGACATATCATCTGACCCAGCAATCCCATTACTAGGTATATATCCTGGAGAGGTGAGAACCAGGACAGGAACAGATATACGGAAACCACGTTTATCACAGCAATATTTACAACAGCAAAAAGATGTAAACAACCTATGTGCCCATCAATGGAAGAGTGGATGACCAAGCTATGGCACATACACCAAAAGGAATGCTATGCAGCACTAAAGAATAGAGTCTGCAAAACACCGCATAACATGGATGAACTTGGAGGACATTATGCTGAGGGAAATAAGTCAATCACAGAAGGACAAATATAGTATTAGTTTGTTGTTGTAGAGGGTCAAAGAAAGGTTTATATATGGAGAAAAACTTTTTTTGTTGGTTGCCAGGGGTGGGAGAGGAGGTGAGGAAACACTGCAAAAACAAAAAAATGTGTTGACCCATGTCACTTTAGTTTTGTGTGTTTCACTGTACATAAATTGTATTTCAATAAAATGGATTTAAAAAATTTAATTCTCTATGAGTTCAATTCCCATTTGGAAGAAAAGTCTTACATTTCTTAAAATTCAAGACTAAAAGAAATTGATTGTAGTTTAAAGTAGCACTTGAAGAAGATTAAAGTTAGCTCCTTGATCCTTTATAATCTGGCAAACACTTTAAGATATTTGTGAAAAAAAATCAATGTCCCAGTCTATTTATATACTAATTTACTCTGAGTTTAATCTGTGCTGATGGGCCTATAATGTATAAAGATATTGGACAAGAATAGCACAGGAGGAGGAAGGGCAGGGATGGAACTATATACAGCAAAGTTTTTACATACTAGTATAATTAAGCTGGTATCTGAACTAGATTTTTATAAATTAAGGTGTTAATTGTAACCCCAGGCAACCACTAAAAAAGTAACTCAAATAGAGTAAGAGAATTAAAATGGTACATTAGAAAATATCTAACACAAAAGAAAGCATTAATGGGGGAACAGAAGACCAAAATGACCTGAGACACATAGAAAACAAATAGCAAAAAGTAGATGTAAATCCTACCTTATCAGTCATTACTTGAAGTGGAAAAACAACCCACAAGTGGGAGAAAATATTTGCAAATCATGTATCTGCTAAGGTACTGTTGTTGTTATGCACCGTTGAGTCAGACCCAACTCATAGCGACCCCTCCTTGGGTTTCTGAGGCAGTATCACTATGGAAGTAGATTGCCCAACCTTCCTTCCAAGGAGTGGCTGGTGGGTTTGAACCACCAGCCTTCTGGTTAGCAGTCAAGTGCCTTTAGGCACTATGCTACCAGAGCTCCTGCTAAGGTACTAGTATCCAGAATATTTAAATAACTCACACACTTAATAATAAAAAGACCTGATTGAAAAATGAGCGAAAGACCTGAGTAGACATTTCTCCAAAGGCAATATACAAAGTACCAATAAGTAAATGAAAAGACACTCAACACCATTAGTCTTGGGGAAAATGCAATTCCAAACCACAATCAGATACTAATTTATAATCACTAGGATGGCTAAAATGATGAAGACAGTTAATAACAAGTGTTGTCAAGGATGTAAAGATATTGAATCCCACATACATTACTACTAGGTATATTAACCAGCATAGCTGTTAAACACAGAATGACCACATAACACAGTAATTTCACTCCTAGATATATGCCGTTGTTGTTGTTAGGTGCTGTTGAATTGGCTCTGACTCATATATACTTTAGGAAATGAAAACATATGTTCACATAAAAACTTGTACATGAATGTTCATGACAGCCAAAAAGTAGAAACAACACAAATGTTCATGAACTGATGATAAAGAATACATGAAATATGGTACATGCGTACAATGGAACATTATTCAGACATAACAAGGAATGAAGTACATACTAAAACATGAGTGAAATCCGAAAACATTAAGTAAGGGAAAGAAGCCAGTCACAAAAGGCCATATATTGCATGACTCTTTCATAAGAAATGCCTAGAACAGGCAAATTCACAGAAAAAGTATGAGTGATTGCCAGGAGATGGTGGGTGGGAGGGGAAATGGGAAGTGACTGCTACTCAGTATGGGGATTCTTTCTGGGGTGATGAAGATGTTCTGGAAGTACAAAGTGGTGATGGTTGCACAAGTCTATGAATATACTAAAACCACTGAATTGTACATTTAAAATGCAACTTTTGTGCTATGTAAATTATATTTCAATGAGAAATGTAATTAAAAAAAAAATTACAGATATCCAAAGAAGTGCTATGTAACATTATTTTCTCTAACCTAGTAAAAATACACCCTCCCTCTATAAAAGGCAAACATCAGAATATATTAAGAGGAAACTATTAATATAACTAAAACTAACCTAAGAGTAAATTATTAAAAGTCTTTAAGATTGTCTATCTTTCACCAGTCTTACCAATTTTCAAATCATCAGCTAGACCTTCTTTTGTAAGATTCAATAGTTCTTTTCCATCAATGTTATTCATCTTGAAAACACCAACAAGATCTTTTAAACCTTGTTCACAAAGCCACATTGAGACATCATCCTCTGACCAATCTTCAGTAAACTGCTTCAACTGATCTTCTGTGCTCCTTGCTTAAGCAAAACAAGAAACACCATAAGCAAAAAGAAAAGATAACAAAAGAAAAAGCATTTCCTTTATACATTCTCACTTCAAAATACAAAGTAAACTAAAATTTCCTTAAATCTGTGTTTTACTACTTTCTTTGAATAATTACAAAAGATCAAATATCACCACATATAATTAAATTATTAATACCAAATTACTAAATGAGGTGCTCTGGTGGGGCTGTGATTAAAGCACTGGGCTGCTAACTAAAAGGTCAGCCATTCAAACCCACCAGCCACTCCATGGGAGAAAGATGTGACAGTCTGCTTCTGTAAAGATTTATAGGCTTGGGAGGGATGTACACAGGGAAGAGGTAACTATTGGGAGGAAGTGGGAGGGAAGGTGTTGCACTGGGGTAAATTGTAGTCAATGTCATGAGACAACATGTGTGTGAACTGCTGTATGGAAAGTGAATTTGCTCTATAAACTTTCACCTAAATCACAATTAGAAAAAAAAAATATTTATAGGCTTGGAAACCACTATGGTGCAGTTCTACTCTGTCCTATAGGGTCGCTGTAAGTCAGAATCAACTTGATGAAAGTGGATTTAGTTTTGGTTTGATTTAAATTACTAAATACTAACCTTTTGAAAACATTTCATTTTCACTATAGAAAAAAATTTTCCTTTATTATATAAAATTCATATCAGCAGAAGTATTCTATTTGCCCCATCATCTGTATAGCAGCACTACTATTTGTTTAGACGCTCCGGTGGTATAGTGCCTAAGGCATTTGACTACTAACCAGAAGACTGGTGGTTCAAACCCACCAGCCACTCCTCAAAAGGAAGACTGGGCAATCTACTTCCGTAGAGATACCGCCTCAGAAACCCAAGAAGGGGTTGCTATGAGTCAGATTTATTCTAAAAGTGATGAAAATAAAACTCCTATGTTAGTGTCAACGTTGCCTGATAAGCCCCAAAATAAAACCAACAAAATGAAATTATTATTTCTATTTTGTTCTCAGACTATAATTATTTGAAAAAATACTATGGAATATAAATAGCTTATAAAATTATAGGTGGTGTGATACACATGAAGTGTGAACCCCAAAGCTTTTACAAACAGTTTCAAGGTTAAGTCAAGGAGCCCTTATGGTGCAGTGGTTAAGTAGTTGGCTGTAAACAAAAAGGTGAGCAGTTCAAACCACCAGCTGATCCATGGGAGAAAGATGTGGCAGTCAGCTTTGCAAAGATTTATAGCCTTTGATGCCCTATGGGGCAGTTCTTAGAGAGCTCTAGTGGCACTGTGTTTAAGGCAGTGGATTGCCAACCATAAGGTCAGTGGTTCAAACCCACCAGCTGCTCGACAGGAGAAAGATGAGGCACTGTGTTTCCATAAAGATTTACAGCCTTGGAAACGTTATGGAGGTTGCTATGAGTCAGAATTGACTAGAGGGCAAAGAGTTTGTTTTGGTTTAGGGCAGTTCTATGCTGTCTTATAAGTTCGCTATGAGTCAGAATTAACTCTATGGCAGTGGGTTTTGGTTGCAAGGTAGGTCAACTACTTTAACACTGGTTTATCTAAAATTATTTTTAAATTAAATGGAAGATCGGGCAATCTACTTCCGTAGTGATACTACCTTGGAAACCCAAGGAGGGGCTGCTATGAGTCAGATCTGACTCTCTACAGCAGTGAGTTTGGGTTTTTTTAGATGGATACTTTGCATGGAGAATAGCAATGTGAGTACTTCGCAGAAAAACGTACTGAATTTGTGATTTTAACAGTGAATGGATGAACTGGATAAAAGATGAAGTCCTTACTAACCTTGACAAAGTGCTTCTGAGTCAAACTGCCAGATGTTCACTGTTTTGTCCATTGAACCAGTGGCAAGTAAAAGGATATTGGGTGCAAAGGCACAAGTTGTCACATACCTAGTTAATAAAAACAATTATTATTTATCTTCTGACTAATTTTTTATTATTATTAATACAGAATAAGGTTAATTTCAGACCTGGTATGCTGAGTCAACGTGTGAAGTACATTCTCGGTATTCTGGAAAATAACAAGAACAGCTTTATATTTACTCAGGCAAGAATAAGACTACTGATAAAGTTTATTTCTGACCCATTTGATATAAATGGTTTATGTGGTATATGTATTCTAGTATCTACTATTTTTCACTAATTAATACTTAAACCAATAAAAGAATACTAGGGAGTATTATCAAGTATTTTATTTCACTGTTCAATTATCAACATTGTTGTCAAGTGACCACCTTTCTAGAAATTTTTAGTATAGTAGATAAACCCTTGGCATATTCTGAGTTGTTTGAATTAACTAACAGTAACCCAAATAATTATTACATTAAATAATTTGTATTTTTGCTATGGTATTTGACTTGTACACATTGCAGGATCAGTGAATACAAATTAGTCATTTAGATTTTGAGTGTACTTAAATTTTTATGCCCATCTAGTATATAGATGTATTTAACTGTGACTCACATACCTACTTTATAGGGAAAATTATGTTATAGTTGTTTTAGTGAATGTGAGATCTCACAGAAATTTCATAAGAAATGTTAAGGATCTATTGCACCTAGCTTGTGTCTTCTGATTTTCTGTTAGAATTTCTGTGTGGAGGATCAGTTTAGATTTCTTGCTTGATTTACTTCACTTTGATGACTGACATCTCCATTTAACTGATTGGCATAGCTACAGCCTGAACTTGATCAACAGTGATTTCTCTTGCAGCGTATTTTCATCAACTATATCTTTATTAGATAGAAGACACTCATTTTTTTTTTTCTTTTCATACTCTTTGAACTTCGTCTTTACCCACGTGGATCTGCCAAAAATTTCTACTTTTCCCAAGTTCACGGTAACCTACTCTTTCTTATACTAGTCTCTAAATCCAGACAGGACTCTACTTTTAGCTGTTTGAGTATGTATAAAAGAGGAATTGAGGACAATCTGGTAAAACTGATACCAAAATTTAAATGGAAATGTCAAGAACCAAGAATAGCCACATGAAGCCTTGGAAAGAAAGAATGGTTTTGGAGCAAGGATGGATTAATAGAAAACAGTCTAAAAACAGACCCATACATGGTCAGTGATATTTGACAAGACAGCACAGCAAAATAGTGAAGATGGTCTAATAATTCTCCCAAAATCCCTGAGGTAAACCTTCATTCTTTGTTGTTATGGAAGCCTGGTATAAATGTTCAAAAATAATTGATTGAAAATAATTTTTCACGATACTGGTGCTCTTTAAATCTGTATTTTCTATGACCACATTTAAAATCCTATTCATCTTAAAATCATTATTGATATATTTAAAAGCCTCTTCCAAAACCAATACTTTACTTTCATAACAGCTTAAACATTTATGAAAATGTATATATTATATTCTTGGGCATACTAAACAGAAAAAAAATGTACTCTTCCTTCATTTTGCTTAACTAAAAAATCTTCAAGTGCAGCAGCCTAATCAAGATAACGTAGGTCTCACCAGATCCTGAAATACTTACAGTGTCATACACTAGGACAGACTTATCCACCGATCTTAAAGAAAAAGAAAAAAAAGAAAAAATTATAGGTGAAAAGCTCTAGAAAAACAAAGAACAGCATTTAGGTAATTAGTATTATTAAACAATTTTTGAAGAAAAGGCTGAATTATCGATCTATAAAATTTAGAATACAGTCTTTTTGTTCACATGTATGAACTTTGATTCAAAAAATCTATATAACATATGTGAATTTAATCAGAAAATTATCAAATTTATTAAAACAATAACCAAACTAGTTGCCAATGAATCGATTTCAACTTACGGCCACCCCACGTGTGTCATGGTGGATCTGTGCCCCAGGGCTGCAGGGGCTGAATTTCTGGAAGTAGATTGCCAGGCCTTTCTTCCACAGTGCCTATGGGTGGACTCAAACCTCCAACCTTTTGGGTAGCACCTAAACATGGTGACCATTTACACCACCCAGTGGCACTAAACAACAGCATATGCAATTTATAATATATAGAACAAGTGCCCATGATACATAAATAAGACACAATTCCATATCAAGACCTGGCAGAAAACTTTCACCTGTGATCTTTATAGAGAGGATGCTGTGAAACATGAACATAGAAAACACAGTCTCTCTTGAGAAAATATAAGTTTCAAATACTGTCATAATCACCTCACTATAGGCCAATGGCTCAAACACAATTCGGAAAAGCAGAAATCAGGAGAAAGGAAATAAAATGGTATGTTATACAATTCCTTGATGTTCTGAATTGAATAGAAAATAATAATAGTAAACATGTATCTAGCAATTACTATGCCCAAACATAAGTAATAAATGCTTTCCCTATATTTTCTTATTTAAGTTTCATTAACAATGTCATGAGGAAAGTATATTCCGTGTTTTATAATTGAGAAAAGTGAAGTGGAGAAAAGATACAGAACTAGAACTTATTCAAGTAAGGGGCAGGGCTGGGATAAAAACTCTGTGTTTTATTTTTAACTTTTTATTGCAATTTGGGTGAAATTTTACAAAGGAGATTCATTTTCCATTCAACAGTTCAGACATTTTGCTCTGTGACACTGGTTACATTCTCCACAGTGTAACAGCTGTTCTCCTACTTCCTCCCTGTGGTTACCTTTCCCTACATCGTTTCTTGCCTATGTCTCCCTATCTCCCCGTACAAATGCTGCCCTTCTGATCTCCCATGGGTGACTGTTCTAAGGAGTACATCTCCCTGGTACAGGTGTTTAGCTCATAGACCTGTCTATTGTTTGGCTCAGAGTTAAACCATAGGAGTGAGTTCAATTTCAGGCCCTAAGGCTTAGTCAGGGCCATGGTTTTGGGGGTTTCACCAATCTCTATCAGACCAGTAAGTCTGGTCTTTATGATTTTGAGTTTTGTTCCACATTTTTCTCCCATTCTATCCAGGATCTCTCATTTGGATCCCTTTCCAAGTGGTTAAGAAGCTCTGGTAGCATTTGACTGCTAACCAGAAGGCTGGTGGTTCAAACCCACAAGCCACTCTATGCAAGGAAGATGGGGCAATCTACTTCCATAAAGATTTACTGCTTTGGAAACCCAATGGCAGTCACTATGAGTCAGAATCAACTCAATGGCAGGGGGGCGGGTTTGGTTTTTTGGTTTCCAAGTGGCTGGCATTGATAGCCAGGTACCATTTAGTTCTTCTGGTCCCAGGGCCATATAGGTTGAGGTTCTCATGGTCCATTAGTCTTCTGGACTGTTTCTATGCATCGCTGATTTTCTTCTTTGTTCCAGACAAGGACAGACCAATAGTTGCCTCTTAGGTGGCTGCTTGTAAGATTTTAAGACCCCAGTCACTACTCACCAAAGATGTAGAACAATATTCTTGTATACCATGTTGTGTCAATTGAGCTTAATGTTCCCCAAGAACATCGTCTCCAGCCCACCATGGTCCTTCACTCCCTCAAGGTACTTAGTTGTAGCTAAGAGGTTATCCTATCTTTGCCTCTTGTTATGTTTAAACTGCATATGGACATTTTCATAGCACATACAAATACATATGCATATGTAGGAATATCATCTGCCAAACCTCTGTATGATCATGGGTATATTCCTATTTGCCTATCCATACCTGATCTTCTTGCCTGCCCATCTATGTATCCACCAGCAGATTAGTGTTTGCTATTTATGATAACACAATATTGTGGATACAAAGTATTTACCTTTATTGTCTGTATCTCTTGTGCACCTGTGTCTTCCTTTTCCTTAGTGATATTGTGCGAGTCACACATTTATTATTATTATTATTATTAATTGTGATTTGGGTGAAGATTTACAGAGCAAATTCGCTTTCCATACAGCAGTTCACATATACTTTGTCGCATGTCACTGACCACAGTTTACCACAGTGCAACAGCTCCCCTCCCACTTCCTCCCCATAGTTACCTTTTCCCAGTGTCCATCCCTCCATACTCTCCTGCCCCAAGCTGTCTCCCTGTGCATAAGCAGCCCTTCCTTCTCCCATGATTGTTCTCTCCAGGGCATGTGTCTACTTGAGGTAAATGTTTAACT